TATAATTCACTCATCATTCACTCCTTGTTTAACTAGATTGCAATGTCAAACTTGGTTGACTTCCGAAAGGGTTACCAAAAATTTATAATGCCAGAAGGGAGTAGAATTTTCAAAAGTGGTATATATATGGCAATTATAGTAAGTGAAAATTAACTTGATAATCAGATTTCCCTTTCTCTAAGCTATTTATTATCCAGCTTTTTTTTCCTCATGTTTAGGAGTTCCGAAAATCCCAATCACTAGACACTGAAGACTGGGATATTATGAAAGCATTAGCGTGGGCAGATGAGGGTTTCCCCATTCCTGAGGGTGAGGGGTGTGATGCACTTCGCACGCAAGGTTTGAGTTGCTAAACATTATCAATTTCTAAAATACCAATTTTTTGTGTGAAATATTGCCACAAAAATCCTATGTTTCAGGTACACTTTCTCAACATGTTCGGGAGAAATTGAAAAATCTAAGAGTGAAATATGAAACAAATGGAAATGGGGATGATGATGATGATGACGAGGGGAAGCAGTGTGAAACAGAGGATTCAACTTTATATCTAGAATATACAACAGAAGCAGTCAACTTGCTTTACTCAGTAAGGGATGGAACTTTGACCATTGAAGATATCTGTTTGGCTTGTGTCAGTCAAGTAGAAGCCCCAAAAGAACATCCACTATTTTATGGTGGAATTTGTGAGGATTGCTGGGTATGGATAGTGTCTAGTAAATCTGGAACAACGGATGAGTTACTGTGATTCTCAGGAGTAATAATTTATCTCATTATGTGTTATTTGTTTCAGACAAAGTTCTTGGAGCGCAACTTTGCCATTGGATTGGACCTTGTAGCAGTATGTAAAAATCTTTCTTGTTACATCTGTTTTCATTTATCATCCTGCTCCCGTTAAAGATTAAACAAGCATTAATTTTTTAGATGTGTAACAAAGGAGAGAATAAGCAAATTGTATCATTCCAACCCTTTTTTTCCAGTACCATTGTAGTATATGTATGGATCTTGGAGACATGATGGTGTGCAGTGAGCCACGGTGTTTTAGGTAGTTGAATTCATATTATATTAAATCTATTTTAAAGATTTGTTAAACCGAAAAAGCGATAATTTTTTTTCTTTTTATAGAGCGTATTGCAACAAATGCATTGCAATGAAAGCAACAATAGGAGTTCTTGACATAATCCGCAACAAAGACCCTTGGCTCTGCTTTTTATGTGAACCATACTCTGCTGGAATGCATGGTCTTCTTCAGCCACGGGTCTCTCAATGGAAACAAAATGTGAGAGCTACTTTTCTTCCTGAAAAATGGTTACACAGACAATATCTTACTATTTCATTCACTTTGTTGCAGATTCAGAAAATGTTTCACCCTGATGTTCTTGATTTAGTTAAAATGAATGAAGTGCCTATTCGTATCCTATGTCTTGATGGATCTTGCAAAAGTGGTTGGTATAAAATTATGTTACTGAGAACATTTTCTTTAAGTTGTTCAGTCTAAAGTTTTTCTTATTTTTCAATTAGCACTGAAACTTTGCTCTGCTCTAAAGAAACCTAATATCAAAGTTGATTCAATGTTTCTTTGCGATTACAATACTGAAGAAATGTCTGAAATGCAAGCTATGTTACCCAATACCAAAAATGTATACCTTCTGAAATCTTTGATACACTATGAAGACTATGAACAGTTATCGAAAATTATGCCCATTCATATAGTTATTGCATCAGCAGCAGGTATTTCCAATTACCTTTTGCTTTTGTCGTTTACAAATACAATGTGATTTTACTGAATTGAGCAGGGGAAAAATTGAATTGTTGCAATCAGATAAATCAAAACTGTCTCTTTTGCAGGCAAAGAAAAAGAATCTCTTGGCCGCATTTTCTTCTCTTTTCATAATTTCATTTCTATGATGCATGTCCTAAATAATGGTTGTTCTAAGCAATGTTTCAAACCTATTTGGCTGTTTGAGGCACTGCCTCCACTATGGGACGACTATACTATTCTCATATCAAGGTATGGAAATAATTTTGTATTTTCACAGCTCTCAAACTTATCGTACTTTTAATGTACGATAATATACATTTGTGTGTGCTAGTATGAGCACCCATTCTGTAATATTACAATGCTGAAACTTTGTTTTTTCTTTCATCCAAATACTAGGTACTTGCAGGTAGAACCAATAGAATGGTCAGAAGACAAAGATAGTAATAATTCTACATTGATATGGACAAATCTCCAGCTGTTCCTGGATGCTCTGAACTTATCACAACCGGATAAAGACAATAAGGTCAAAACCTCTTGCAACTACAATAATGAAAATCAAGATGAGTCCGGAAGTGAAGAAGAAGCACGCAGATTCATTCTTCGAAGAAAGAGGCGAAAGCAATAGGAACTTGAAATGCCAGCCTAATCAAGAAGTAATAAAGAAAACCATATTATTTGGAGAACAATATATTGACTTTCCATGAAGATAAAATAAAACAATATTATCAGTGAACAAATCTGTACAATTGAATAATAAAATGCTATTAGAGGCAATCAAGAGATCAAGATAATATTCTTCTGCTATTACAACTAGATAAAATGTGTCAGATTCATGTGTGTCTATAATAATCTTAAACAATGTACATATGTTGTTTGTTCGGTCCATATTTGATTTGTTCATTCTAAAAGTGCACATGCCCCAGTTTTACATGCACACACCAAAACTTCCACAGCTACAGGGAAGCGTATGTCATAGATGGTGTAACCTGGTGTTTATTTCCATTCCCAACAATTTAATAAATTTTGATTAGGTAAAAGTAATCCCTGAGTAATTTAGTAACCACCCAAAAAATAAAACCCATAACCATGATACAGCCATCACCAAAGTTCGATAATAATATAGTAGTAAAATGCTTCCTAGATAATGTTACATTGTCATAGCAAAACAACATAATCAGATCACAGTAATT